CTAAATTAATTAGGCTAATTAAATTCCACCATCCTCCTTCTTTTTTTTTATACAACTGGAATACTTTCTACACCAAGTGCATAACAAATCTAAGTATGTTGCTTACAGCTTCCAACAATATAATGAGCAGCTTACAGTAGTGAAATCAACAATACCATTTTAAAGTGCAGCAGTGATCATCATGTAAACAGTGTAGGAGAATGGTGCATGACATTGAACCTTTAGTTGTGTCCTATTTAAAAGGATTATAGAAATTTTAGCCATGTTGGTAGTGCAAAATAACGTTGTGAGTGTGATGCAGAGAGTCCAGTTTAGAGTTAAACAGTTCTCAGTTCAGTCTGATGGCTGTGGGCAAAAAGCTGTTGCAGAACCTGCAAGCAATGCGCAGATGCAGCAAAGCTGCTTTCCAGAGGACAGCTTTCCAAAAGCCACATAAGCTGGTGGTGGTGTGATGATCTGGGGCTGCTTTTCTTTTGCAGCACCTGGATGACTTTGGTTCATTCATGGAAGCATGATTTTTCTGCTCTCTAGCAGAAAGCAGTAAAGGAGAATGTCCTGCAACAATTAGTGACCTCTGATAACCTCTAGTGTCCCAAAGTTATTCAGCAGGACATTGGATCTAAATCCTGTTGAGATCCTGTTGAGAATGTCATGACCTCAAACCAAGAGTTTATGCTCTATAACCCAGAAATAAGGATGAATTAAATCAGCTCTATCAAGAATACTGGAGCAGATTGATGTGAAACGCACATCCTGTTATCACAAAAATTTGATGGCAGCAATTCCTGCCAAGGAAACCATAACTATTTTATCATGAAAGTATAGTTAAAAACATGGTATTTTAGATTTTACTCCAGATACACTTGTCCTACCTGAAAAATCAGAAAAGGAATAAACATTTTTTTTTTTCAGCACTTCATCGGTCTGTGCATCTAATTGTGCAAAACACAGACAAGCCTTTTTTGCAGAAGTGATGTGTAAATCCTTTATTTATTTAAGACCCACTGTGCTTATGCAGTAAAAGACGGTGGTAGATCAAGGGGAAGTAAGTCACATTTAGCCAAAGGCAGGGAGCATTAAAGCTGCATGTTTCACATGGTGCACATCTACAGTATCTGCAGCATTAAAAACCATTCGCTGTTATCTGAAGACGAACAATATGAGGAAGAAGCGTGGAAAGTTATTAACCTTTGATCCTGCTTGTAGATAAGAAGCAGCAGCGGGGAAAAGGAGGGAAAAAATGATATGAAGGGGAATGAAGCGGAGAAGAAAACAGGTCAGAGAGGAAGATGAAACTTTATTGATCGCTGAGAGGAAATGAGGTTGTACCAGTTGTAAAAGTAACACAGATGACATCATGGAAATGAAATATAAAGCTAGAACACGTTATTAAATGACTAAAAATTTTAAACTTGACAAGATAAATTTTTGTTTAATCACCTAATATAATGATAAAATAAAAATAAAGACATCCGGAATAACATAAAAATGAAGATAAGAAAATTATTTCTTTGGGGTCATAAAGAAGAAGTTAATGAGAATGGCAGCTGGAGAGAAATTCACTTCCAGAGGAGAAACCTTACAGAACGAGAAGAGATGAGAGCAAAATGACTTTTTCTTTAACTTGCACATCTCAAAATGCTAAAAACATATCTGCTTTGTTTGGATTTAATATATATTTTCCTGACTTACTTAGTAACAAGGAGGAACATATTTGTAGAGCCTTTAGTGTTTAGATTTTTTTTTTATTAGATAGATTACAAACTTGTTTCCCATTATAGTCTTTAAAATGACTCAATGCTTCTAATCCTCACCTGTTTAAATACATCATTAGCTGATCTAAAGGTTAAAACTAATACTCACAAAAAGTTAAATCCTGTTCTTAAAACTAATTTGACCTCATTTTCGCACAGATTCTCTACCGAGCACAGTTGCAATATTTTCTGTCTTTGAATATGATGTTTGGACTGCAGGAGCAAAGTTGTGTGATTCGAGGCGGCAAAACAATCAGTTAATTTCAAATCTTTGACCTTCAGCATGAGCAAGGTCCTTAATAACTTAGAACTATTAGTCAGTATCTGTAGAGAAAAATTTATGTCTTTAAAGGCATCCCTACAACAGCCAAAACCATCTTCTTTGGACCTTGCAAAAAAAATAAAATAAAATCAAACATGAAAAATAAAATTTGAAAGAAAGATTAATTCTCTTGGGAAGAAGGTGTCATCTGGATGTTCTTGATGGCTAACAACATCACTGGTACAACAAAGAGAACGCATTGAGGATGTTTTTCATGAGGTACAGAAGAAGATGCTTCCCAGTGATCTGGGGAGTTTTTCCCCTCAGTGGAGATAAGGGACTGCAAGTTGCACAAGGGAATCTCACCACAGCTGGAGATTCTATAGCAGACATCCTTCTAGTCTGTGCTATGATAGGGAGGTCTGTTAACAGGAAATCCCTGCAGTTCACTACATCTTATTTAATGGGCAGTGTGAATCATTTCACACAGCAGTACTAGCAAGTGATTGCAGTTTTGAATTGATGTTACGAAGTGTTTCATTGTCTGTGCAGTTAGCTTTAGCGTCTGATTGTTTTTTTGTTTTGTTTTTTTGGTCTGTTTAGTAATTTAGCATTAGGAAAGCTAATATAGTGCCTTGTGAAAGTATTCTTCCCCTTTGACCTTTTTGAACATTTGCCACATTTCAGGCTTCAAACATAAATGCGTAAAAATAAAAAATTTTGTGAAGAATCATCTACAAGCCAGTCACAAAACAGCTCATCACCCTGAACAGACCATCCCCACTCTCTAACATGGTGGTGGCAGCCTCATGCCTTGGGCCAGCTTTTCTTCAGCAGGGACAAGGAAGATAGTTAAAATTGATGGGAAAATGGATGGAGCCAAACACAGGACAATTCTGGAAGAAAACCTATCAGAGTCTGCACAAGACCTGTGACTGGGACAGACATCAATCTTCCAAAATGTCAATGATGCATAACTGCATCACAAATAAACATATCCAGGTGTTAGAATGGCCAAGTCAAAGCCTAGACCTGAGTCAAATCGAGAATCTGTGGACAAAACTGAAAACTGCTTTTTAAAACACTCTCCATCCAACCTCACTGAACTTGAACTGTTTTGCAAGGAAGAATGGGCAAAAAGTTTAGTCTCCGGGTGTGCAAAACTGATAGAGACGTACGTAAAGCAACTTGCAGCTGTAAACACAGCAAAAGGTGGTGCATTAATTAAATGGGGCTGAAACCTTTGCTCACCCAATTTTTCAGTTTTATATTTGTTAAAGTTAAAATATACAATAAATATTATTGCACTCAATGATTGTGTCTGATGAATGCAATTTTATATCTTTATGCTTAAAGCCTGAAATGTGGTAAACATTCGAAGGGGGTGAATACTTTCACAAGGCACTATATTTCAGTTTGCAGTCTACGTGCTAAGCTGACTGTTTTGTTAGCTTTAATACTAGATTATATTTAGTCATGTCCCAGGAATTACCAAGTAGCTACACTTTGAAAAACTGCACATGCCTGTTCAGCTAAAAACACAGCACAGAAGCTTTAGTACAGGCTGAGTTAAAATATAATGTTTGAATTAATTACTGCATCAAGAACTCTTGTTATAATGTGTCAAGGGCTTTTCAAACATATTTGTTAGGAGAGAGCAAAGGTTAATAAAACAAGATTATAGATTTAATTTAGACCTTCACCCTTCTTTTTTTCGGCTGTCACTCCTCTCATACTTTCCTCTGTACTACTCAAACAGGGCCGCTTTAATAAGACCTGAATCCATAAATCTTCCTTGGTTTGAATTCTGAGTGAGAGTCCAACTCTTAATATAAATGAAGGGAAAAACTGCAGGGAGCCAACAATCATTTTACAGTGAGTATTATCAAGTGGAGGGGCATGATTATCATCACAGTTAGTAACAAGCCAAATGAAGCTGCTATGCGGATGTTTCATCTTACCTTTCATTGTTCATTAGTTGAGCAGTCAAACTCAGGCTTTATTGCCTGATGGGTGAGTCAGCTTGGTCGGGTTCTCGTTTAGAAGGTCTGCTTTGACATTGATTCTTGTGTTTCTTGAGTAGTCCAAGGTTTTTATTACAGTCGGTAGACTAGCAGCTTTGTACATTTCCATCTCCTTTGATGCACCTTTCATGATGTGATTCCTCTTTAAGTCATATCCTTAAAAGTCTTGGTCATACAGATATAAGGACTAAATACAGTATTTGCAGGTCAATGCAGCTAAAACTGGCTCTCTAATGTGTTGAACCAGGGGAATAGTTCACTCCTTATATTATATATATATATATATATATATATATATATATATATATATATATATATATATATATATATATATATATATATTTATCGTATTGATCTATTTTTTTAAATACATAATATTTAGTAATGATGTGTTTTCAAAAGCAGCTAATTTATCTAAATAATATTCGTATCAAACCTTTTCAATAGGCTTTCATATCCCAAAAAAAACACAACAGAAGGGATAATCACTTAAAGTGATCAGTGGAATTTTTTCTCTGGATTTTTTTGTTGCATTATCAAAAGTTAAAGAGGGTAGATACTAAACTTCATTATTTGTCTTGTATTTTAAAAAGTGAGGAAAATGTGTAATTTTACTTCTACATCGCACCTTTTTTGTTATTTCATAGCACAAAATTCATTGAAGCTTTTGGTTCTAATGTAACCAAAGTGTAAAAAACCAAAACAAACAAAATTTAAAGATTATTATTCTTTGAAGGGGACTGTAGTTATCAGTGAAATGAAAGCTATAGTCTGCTCCAAAGATGGATTAGTGTCTCAGTGATGTACGTTAATTTCAGTTTGGGATATTCTTCAACCCCAATGAGGTTTACAACATGTTTTGTGTTTTAAAAGTTGAATGTAGGCATTTTGCTGAGACAAGCTTGATGACATCCAGAGATCAAAGTTTATGGTTTCTAACAGAGCTGTTCTTTCTTTCAGATTGGAGTCTCCCACTCGCTCTTTACTGATGGAGGCACCGAAAGGAATCCAGATCCTGGCTGAGGCTGGAGACATCCAAGCCATCTGCAGAAACGAGCTACGGCTGGAGTCCAAAGATGGAGAGGTGGGTTACCTTTCTGGCTGGAGGCTGCTTAAATGCCATTAACCATTGACTGCATAAAAAAAAAAAAAAACATTGAGAATGATAAATAAGAAATAGATTACCAACAGAACTGAATTGGCTTCTTCTTAATACACTGATGTATTTCCATGTCAATAAGGACATGATAGTGAAAGTTCACAGTTTTTTTTTTTTTTTTACTCAATTAAAATCTATATGTTTAATCCCCCGTTAGGTTGCTAACATTAAATACAACTGAATCACATCAGGCTTGCCTGAGAGTCATTGTGATTCAACATTTTATTTTGAAAAAGGTTTGTTCTTTTTCAATATCAGTGGTTTAGAGTGGGGGTGCTTTACAGCATCAGGAACTGGTTGGCTTATCATCAAAGATTAAACCATGAACCCTGACGTGTATCAGGGAGTACTGGAGGAACATGTGACACCATCTCTAAAAGAAAAAAAAAGCATGAACATAAAGCAGAAGTGAAGGTTGAAAACAGCCAAAAACATACCAGTAAACACACAAAAGACTGGCAGCAGACTTAGAAAACACTAATTATATAATCACACTAAAAATGGGCTAAACATGCAAAAAAAGAAAACAAGGTGTGAAGCAAGCTTTCCTAAGATGGATGTCAAACTGTTAGATGACAACAAGAAGGTAGTTTCTTTAAAATAGTCAAATTTCAGTTTTGATTAATGACTAAATGAGGATCAATTTCAAACTAAACTCATTTTCTTTTAAAGGTATTCTGAAGTTTTGATCATGATCTTTTTTTCCATCCAGGAGCTCCGTAAAAAAATTATCCATAGCAACATATTTCCTTCACAGATAGGTCTGTTCAGCTTTCTGTTGCAGGAAAAAACCTTACGTTCTGTTGCAGTGTGGGAGACATGTAATGTCCTTGTCTTCTGGCTTCAACTCAACATAATCTTCCTTCTGTCCAAACTTATTTTAACAAAACAAGCTATGTTAAAATGTTTTAGCCAACATGGGCTGACATTTTTAAGATGGCTGCTGGCGATTTTCCTGCATGCTGGCCCTCCACCAGGAGCGCAAAAAGGCAGGAAAACTGGAAGCAGAAGTGAAATGCTTTCTCCTTTTCTTCCTCCTCCTTTGAACCAATCTTCAGTAACAAAGTGGAGGCCTTTCATGTGCTAATTACTATTTATTTTCTATTCATCTTTTCCTTTATTCTGTCTTCGACGTTATTCCTTTATCATCCTTCTCTCCTGTTTTTGCTCATCCTTCTATTGCTTGCCTTTGTGCTCCTAAGTTCCTCTAACCGGTGATTCGGTACGGCCATCAGCCACAGCGTTCATCACTGTCAGCTGTTATGCTGATAAAAGGATTTCCCTCTGTACATCGCAGCAGGCGTCGTGTGTCAGATCTGTTAAAATCAACGCAGGAGGATTAGAGGGAAGAAAGTATTTAAAAGTTTTCCATGAAAATAGTTTTCTGTATTAGGACTGGCTGATGATGAGAGACTAAACAGCGGCGGTGGAGGTTATGAAGGTGACCCTAGATCCAGTTTGGTCCAATTAAAAGCAGAAGCCGCTGTGCTCCGAGGCTGCGTCTGCATCGTGGCTTCTTGCTGCTGTCACGGACGTGTGCTCAGAGATGAAATGTGGAACTTACTGTGAACAGAGCATATAATTAGGACGTTGCTCTCACACTCCATTAGTCCTGCAAATGTCCATTTGTCAAACCTCTGTCTTACACCGAAGCTTCCATGTCCTCTGGAGCAGCCACCGCAATTACAGAAAGGTTTGAGCTATTATCCAGTGATGGGCCACATGGTCAGATACTGAAATTATCTGAAACATTGCGAGGCTGCTCATTAACAGACAGGAGAGCACATGTCGGTGTCTTCCTTAGATAAATGAAAGCTGAACAGACACTGCAACAACAAGTTTTTTTTAAGACCATCTCAAAGATCCTGCATCTCGAGTGAGACTGATTGCTGCATAAGAACTTTTAGTAAAAATCAAAATACCTTTTAGAAAGTAATGTTTAGTTTATTTGAGAAGACCTATAAATACCGCTCCGAAGGAAGACTGACAGATTGGAAGGAAGGAA